AACAACACAGCACCACCATGAAAGCTGAAATAGGCTAATAACAATTAATTTAAAGGGGCATTATGGAGTTTCCAGCGGCCACTAGCGGTGCGTTTTAAGATTGCAACCAGGCGTGTGCTCGTATGCGTGCTTGTTTGAACTCATGAGCGAGCATAATCCGAAACACAACCGCTTTCATACAGAAATTCTGCAATAAACGAAAAACCGAGAAACACCAGCACACAGGCTGTGGCTTTTCACACAGACATGTTTAGGCTCTGTTACTTTAACGTTCCCATCTCAGAGGCAGATCAACACTGGCGCCGTACCTTTCATTCAGCGCAGCGAGACACCGGCATATTGGCACAGTACTCCCGAAAAAAGGCAGAGTGACAGCGGCTATAGACAGGCAGGGAGACTGCTTCACACAACATACTGGAAACTCAGGTAAACTCCCACTGCAACATTACAGTAATGTTTTTATCAGCTTGATATTGAACTAATCCATGCTCGTTACATGATAATGGTACAGTGACTGCATTTAGCTGATGTGCTACATCGTTAGCTCGCCTGCTGCTTTCAGTAACTATCTTTACTATCTGTGTATCTTTCACCGGAGGCTCAGCAATGTCAGCACAGATAAAAGTATTGGATGATAATGAAATGGTTAGTGAGCTGGACTGAATATTATAACAAGATTGTGTCACACTTTATAACAGTTAGACCGCAGTAAGTAACTTTACTGTAACTAGTGTTAGTGGATGGCTCTTCCTCTGTGTTATGTATGTGTATATTATGTGGGTCATGTTTGTTACAGCGACTGAGAGGTGGGGAAGCTGTGTACCTGAGTATCGGTAAAGGGCAATAAAATCTAAATTGAATGTTACGAAACCAATAGTGGCAGGTCCGAGCTAATGTAACGTTAGCTGGCTGCTCCTGGCTGCATCACTACAGGATAGTAAACAAATCGTTCTTTGTTTGCTTTTTACCATCACATCATTTCTTGCAGCCTTTGACACTTTGACATAATACCAGTGGTACACAGGAAAGTAAAATGGGTCGCATTAGTTGATGAAGTAATGTGGAAAGCGATTCAACTTTGCACCGGATAACATTAACAACTGCTCGGCGTTAGCCGGAGAGCTAACGTGACTTTCGCTGTGTTTCTCCAGCTTTACTAATGCTCAATTCATTACACATTTATTGATTAAGACAATGTTTGGTCTGATGGACTTCAGCAGATAAACCTTTATTGTTGTTTTGTATCCTTACATGGAGTCTGTGTTTTGCTGTGAGCCGGTTGTTAGTGGACAGCATGTCGTTGAGAGGCTCGGGAGCGCACAGGGCTGAATCCGACCCCCTCACATTAAAGCAGTATAGTGGCTGATGCGAGCAACAGAGAAAACAGGCGTGTGCTTCATTTCTAAGTGAGTTTTGAGCCCATTGACAATAAGGAAATGAAAATTTGATTTATTAAAATCAAAAACTTACATATAGCCCCTTTAAATAAGTAAAAAACGAAGAATAATTTTACCAGAGAGAACCTTTGTTTGTGTGTGTGTCTATATGTGACACTGTATGTGTCTGAGTGCATGTGGGTGAGTGTGTCTGTATGTGTATGTGTGTGTATATGTTTGTGTGCATAAGCCTGTTACAGAATGTAGTTCATAGTGAGAGTGGGATACCACAACCGCGCCGCTCCGACTCCAGCGACAGGCAGGCAAGACCCCCAGTAGCCAATAGGGGTGGGAGAGAAGTCGACGCAGAAGACCCCGACCCGACCAACAAACGCCAAAGACACCGGCCATCCAAATGCCAATTCACAACGCAATGCCGTCGGAAAGCAAAAGGCGGAATCCGCAGAAGAGCGGCACCCGGACCAACTGCGACGCGCACACAACAGAGGCCAGTGCCACCCTGCGACAGGTGTGACACCAAAATGTGTGACCTATCAGATTCTGTGACCCAACCAGGAAATGCCTCCCTCGGACTCCAATGCACAAACTAACGCCCAGCAACCCCTGCACAGAAAAAAACAATGCATCAAGATGCATCGACAATTGCAGCCTTCCGAGCCGCAACCAGACTGAGACTGCTGTCTCTGACGGAGGTACTATAGATCAGCGAGACGTATCAGTGGAACATACAGACTAATGGAAATTGGGGGATGGAGACAAAGGGCCTGTGTAGGTCTCTGTGGCATGTCATTAGTGAAGAGATGGGTTGAGTTGTTCAATCTGACATTTACCAGTCAAACTGAAAATGTCACTGAATGCCAGCCTTTACCTCTTGATATAATGGTGACTCTTACTGCCCAGAGCTATTCATCCCCAAAAATCTTTTGCCCCCCCCGCCGTCCACTGTCCCAAGAAAAACCACCATACCTGTGGTCCTTTATTTCCTTGTCCAGCCAAACCTCAAATGTCTATTTTTGTTAAATCCATGCATTACCAGCCTTGAATCAGTGGGTAGAAGATGCCATAACAGTGTTAGCAACAGAAGATATTATATTTTAGTAAATAACTGTATACAATGTGTACTCTGCATTGTATGACAAAACACCTGACTGCTGGTTATAATGATTCATTACATATTTGTCAGCCACATCTTCATATGAGCTTTTTTTTCATGTCTCTAGGAGATAATGTAACACAGCTGTTAAAATGTAATTCCACAGCTGGTTTCTCATGTCTGAACACTAATATTGTAGCTAAAGTTTTTGTGTGCCGAGGCTCTTGTTCCTTTGATTCATTTGTATAGTTTCTTTCCCAACTCTGGCCGTCTTTTCAGGTTAGCTAATTGACTGGCAGACTGGACCATGTAGAGGTTGCCAACTTTGTCAAAAAAAGAAATGTGACGTTTGTTGTGGGCAGAAAAAAAAGACATTTATTTTTTTGTGATCTCCCACCACAGCATGCTTATTTTTTGGCCATTAAATATTTATGTAGTGATCACAAGAAAAATGTTTTTTCTGTGTTGTTCTCAGCATATAATACATAATACTGCAAATACTAATTCAGTCAAAATAAAAGCCTCAAATCAATTTTACCAAGATCAGAGCAAATGTGTCACATCAAAATTATGTCTCATGGTTGTAAGACAAATATTTTGTGATCCCAGGAAGACGAAGCGTATGTCAAGATCATTAATTATTTTGTTGAGCACAAGTAAACAAAAAGTGAGAAACAGTTGGCCTTCCACATGTACCAGATGGATTTCATGTTCTCACTATCAGATTAACTGAAGGTCTAGAGGGCTGTTTAGAGTTGTATTGTGTGTATGGAGAAAATTAACTGGTTAATGCTAAAATCTTATAACAATAACCAAAAGCAATCAGACCCTACTAGATGATGCATTCTTTACAGTGCGCTGTTCTCAGCCTCATTTCAAATTAAGCAGTAATCTCTTCCCCAGTAGCTAATGCAGAAGCTAATTATGTTGAAAACCACTCATAAGCATTTCCGGGTTTTGTTTGTTTTGCTGCAGTGAATTTGTGTCTCACTTTTAGGAACTGAATTTAGATCCATGGCCTCTCAATTTGTTTTGGGGAGTGCTACTGTCTAGTCTATTTCTGTCCTTGCTACGCTATTGTCCTCGGTTGACTGCCTTCACATCAAGTGCTGGATTTATTTGGCCACTCTGCAAGCTCAGGCAGTTCGTCCCTGCAGCTACCGCCCAGTATGCACAGGCTGAAGTCACTGTTAGGAACTATAAACCACTGTAACTGTCATACTGGTTTCAGTGATTGTTTTCTCTACAGCCTGACTTGGGTTTCCATGTTTGAAGAGCTAAAGTTGTTTATAGATAACAGAGGATAAAAGCACACCAGAATGCCATTTTCCTTCTTTTTGTATTCTTGATTTTCTTTTGTTGGATCGATTGATGCTTTTTACAGTGCATTTTCAAGCATGTGGTGTGATGTTGCTGTCCAAAGCTTTGATCTGCAAAATGTTTTGCTCATCATTGTTTACTCCTCTTCTTCTGCGCATGTTAATTGGCGGCTCCAACTGCAGTGCTCCATTTCAAAATCCATACCCAAAGAAGATTATGATCTTAATTAGCTATATCACAGCCCTGGGCATATTACATATTTGCTCAGCAGCACACGATGACTCTCGGAGTCTTGTCCTTTGAAAAAAAAATCAGTAATACAGCTTTGATTGCAACATGAGCTTGATTCAATTAACCGCCAGATCTCAGCTGCATTACCTACCGTCTCCCTGGCTTCACCAGAGTCACTTCACCATTATGAAACCCCATCAGTCATAAAAATAGCCAGTCCAGCAGTTGACAATCTTAAGAGAATGATTATTGCCTTGCTTACTATATGTGTCCTATGACTAATTCAATATCAACACCTTCAGAGGACAAAGACCAAATTTTTTAATTTGGCCACACCACTGACAATTCTCTCATTGCTGCTTTACACAAGGCAGTTATGCTGTGGAATAAAGCTGCTAAGATATGCAAGTAGTTACATGGTGCCTAAAGAAGCAGATGTTGTGATTATGAGAGACTTCTTGAGTGTCCTCTAGTTGATGTTTTTTTTCACAAAATGCATGTGGCAATCAAAATCTACACGTTTTTGTCAAATCCCTTAAGTTTTCATTTTATTAAAGTCAACATTATTCATCGGTAAACAGCTGAAAAGTGCCTTTAACTAATGCAGAACCCACTGATAAACTCCTCAGGAATGCAGATTGATATATTTTACTGTGTACTAAAAAGTGTAGCTAAGTATGCCCTCTAGTGTTGTCAAAACTCAACCACGTGCAGATGTGCAGAACACTCAATATATGCATTTCTTTGGGTAGCAAAGATGTAATATTGGTGTCATTGAGTGTTCTTGAGCCTTTTTTTCAATCAACAGAGGAATATTTATTATTATACCAGATATATATATCTGTCTCTCTCTATATATATAGATATATAGAGATATCTAACTATCTATCTATCTATCTATCTATATATATACCAGAATGAGTGGATAGTCTAAAAGTCCATCCCTTCTCTCTCTGCAGGTACATCCGCACCATGTACCTTGGTATCCAAAGTCACCGGCAGAAGGAGAACCAGCGTCGTTTTTACTGGGCTATGATGTACGAGTATGCCGATGTCAACATGCTGCGACTGCTAGAGACCTTCTTAGAAAGCGCCCCTCAGCTGGTGCTGCAGCTCTGCATCATGATCCAGAGCAACAAGGCTGAGTGGCTGCAGTGTAAGGGGTTCCCTAAAGGCTCTATAAGAGCAACACTTGAGTCTAATTTCGTTAGACTCTAGTGTTTTGTTATCTGTCATCTGTCTTTTTTGCATTATACTGTCACTCTGTGGTTATCGCATAATTCTCAGATGCTTCTGTATTTTATACTCGACAATCCATTTTTCTTTGAAGTTCCCATTTCACTGTATTTACAGCGTGCAATATTCTCCACTGTTGCATCCAATTTCCAACATGGATCACTCTTGTTATTGAAACCTCTTTTACTATTCCAGTTTCCTCATGCAATACAGCTCCCCAAGGAAGGCAATTCAATCATAGCAAGTGATACCCTTCCCTGACTGGGTGTCTATAGAAATGCCATCAATACATTTGCTGAGAGGCACCATGCTGCAGCTAATCCTGGCTAATGCAGCAGGTTACTGCTCTGACATATCTGCTGCCACTAGTATTATACAAGTCTTAAGGAAACTGAATTGGTGCTCTAAATGTGTTGACCTGACCTGATCTTGGTAATAATATGCCTTTCAAAATGTGATGGATTGCTTTGGCTGAAATAAAACATACTGTACACAGTAAGTGGAATGGCAGCCAAGTCAAGATAAAACCATAATTCTTTGGGTTTAGAATTTAACCATTTATAAGCATTTGTCCGTTTCTCTCATTCTTACCATTCTGAGTCTTTCTCTGCTCTTACTCTTACTCTCTCTGTCTTTATTCCCAGGTGTTTCTGCCATGTCCTCCCTCCTGTCCCTGGCCTGGGTGCTAGCTTCTTACCACAAACTCCTGCGTGATTCACGTGACGACAAGAAGAGCATGAGCTACCGAGGTGCCCTGGTGCATCTGTTTTGGCGCCTTTTTACCATCTCCTCACGGGTGCTCTCCCTTGCCCTATTTGCCTCCGTTTTCCACATCTACTTTGGCATTTTTGTGGTGCTCCACTGGTGTGCCATGGCTTTCTGGGTCATCCATGGCGGCACCGACTTCTGCATGTCCAAGTGGGAGGAGGTACTGTTCAATATGGTGGTGGGTGTGGTCTATGTCTTCTGTTGGTTCAATGTTCGTGAGGGCCGGACACGGTACAGAATGGTGGCCTATTACACAGTAGTACTGTTAGAGAATGCCATCCTCAGCTCCCTTTGGTATGCTTATCGCGACCCAGCCACCACTGACGCCTATGCCTCTTTTGCCCTCTGTGGCGTCTTCCTGTGCTTTGCCTCAGGTGTGGCCTGTATGGTTCTCTATTACGGGGTTCTACACCCCATGGGCCCCCGGCTGAGGGTGCTAGCCAGCTCTTGCTGTGCTGAGCTGCTGTGGGGCCTTCCATTACCCCCAGAGGCTGAGCCCATGGCACCCACTCCAGGCCCACGTGGCTCTCAGGCCACCCCCACACGGGGCCTGGCAGGGGAACATGAGGAGTCAGATGAAACAGCCACAGACACCTGCCTTCCGGTTTTCCAGGTGAGATCCACAGAGCCTGTGGATGCAGCTGGCAGGCCCATCCGGCCTGAGGGTCCTCTCATCAAGATAGACATGCCCAGAAAACGCTACCCAGCCTGGGATGCACACTTTGTGGATCGGCGCCTGCGCAGGACCATAAATGTGCTGCAGTACATTAGCCCTAATGCGGTGGGCATCAGGTATAGGGATGGTCCGCTTCTTTATGAACTCCTGCAGTACGAATCCTCCCTCTGAACGCATCACCCACAGCTCTGTCACCTCCTCTTACACACAACAATGCACATGTGTTTCCTTTTTTTTCATTCTGCTCTTCCTCCTCTCCAGATATTATCTCTTTCCATCTGACTCAACTCTCTTCTCTTCTCTCCTCTATGATCGTTACATTTTTCTGCAGGAAATGTGTGTTTTGTCAACCGAAAATCTGTCAAGACAGTCTAAACACACAGTCATGATTTATTTTTGGAAAAAACATACGGTGCAGAGAGAAAATTATGAACCTACAATATCTTATATGATACATACAGAAGTCTCATATGAATCCCTCTACATTGATAGAGCAGGGTTCTGTATGAGTGTGTAGATAACATATGAATGTTTCATTATGAAATGTGTTTAATGCATTATACTGTATTGGTGATTCAACCTGTGAATACTTGTGAAGGGCATATTGTATGTCCCTGTGACATGGGACTGGTGCAAAGCCTGATGGGAATGATGGAGGAGAGTCTCAGAGGGGGTAGGTCTTTGCACATCCCTACATTTACTGCCATTCTTTATGTAAAATATTGAAATGTATGATAATGTTTACCAAGTCCTTAGCCCGTAAATTAAAAAGCACTGAAATTTCTATCATCATACTATTACAGAAGGACACAATCAAAGATGTGTCAAGGAGAAGCAATTCAAAACGGATTTTCCCTCTGTAAGCTTACGTGGCTCAAGTGTATCCTGGCTGTACTATTTTTGTTCAAAATCCTAAATCGTAATCGCATCATGTATGGAAGAAAAAAGAAGCACACTGACCTTCAATCAGTTCCACCCACATATTAAATTTTTACGATGCAGACTGCCCTCCAATGGAGGCAAGCTGTAACAGCACGCCTTACTTGGTAATTTCTGCCTGTAGTTGTGACAGCACAAAATATTAAGACAAGCACTAGAGTGAAAAAAACACAATGGAAGGAATGTAGAATGGAGTTGAAATGAGCACAACATTTTCTAAATTGGTGGGTAGAAATCATAGCAAAAAACATTCCAAAGACATTTTTTAAGAATGTAGGTGTTTAGCGAAAGGTAGAAGGGTACAAATGTGTGTTAACATGCACGTTTTGTGCAAAGACAGCCTTCAAGGAGTCCTCCACCATTCCCTTCTGAATCCTGGAAAGTACTCCCTTAGCCAACCTTCCTATTTTGTTTTCTTATCAACAAAAATGTTTTAGGTTGATTAATATATGCGTATTGGGTGCAAAGACTTGTGATAAGAAAAAAATATGACAAATCTGAGAAGATATTTCTATGCTATTATACTTCAGTGCGTATTTGTGTCCACATTTATAGTCATTGACATAACTATATTTTGCCAGAACACACACTTTTTTACATAACAAAAAATGTTGTGCAGTGCAGTGTTGAAAGGTATACTCCTCAACATCAGTGTGCCCTCAAAGAGGTTATACTCTTACATGGGTGTACAGGGCAACTGTTCTGGCACCTGCTAGCGTAGTTGAAACAAAGCCAAATCGCACCTTACAGTACTGTCTTTCCAACTTATCTGCCCCCTTGAACCAGTAGAATGAGCCCTCGCAAAATGTGTGCCATCTATAGGCCTGCTGTCCAGCAATTATACACTGAAATACATCTCCCAGCTGAACATGCGGGAGCTCTCCACTACATATATAGACAGCTGTATTCACTCATGATAAAAGGAAAAGAAAATTTAAAAAAAACATGCCTTCTATGTCAAAGGAGCTTGACTAAAATTTCCAGTGAGGGCTACTGAACAATTTATGAGAACAATGAATGCATTTCATACTCCAATTTTATCTATTTACTCAAATGATTCATCTGAATATATAATGTGTGTTTTTTTTACATAGCAGAGTTTGGCATGACTTTAGTATGAGGCATTATTACAAATGCACCCAACAAGCGATGGCCAAGAGCCCTACACAAAACAGAGATTCCTTTCTGCTGGCTTGCTGGCTTTCTGCTTAGCTGTGGGCACACGTGCCTGCTAACATCGTACTGTAAAAGGCAGATGCCATGTAAGTCCAGGCCAAAGGTGGGAGGGGGTTTTTGCCAGGGTTGGAAAAGAACATGAGGACAGATGTGCTAAAGGGCCTGACTGGAGTATGGTGGATGATTCCTTGTATGCCTGTGTGAGAAAGATGAGATGTTTACCTCTCAGCATGTACTGTACAACCTACAGTATGCATTATAGGATCTAAGTATGCTCACATGGTGGTGTGTACGCACGCTTGTGTGTGTGTCTCCTCAGCCCTTTCCCACAGTTCTGTTGTCTCACCAAATGTTCGGCTCCACCCTTGGTTGCTGCTCCGCCCTCTTACCCCATCTCTGCGGTGCTGGGCCTTGGTACCCTCCAGTGAAACACTCTCACACTCTCTGGTAACTGAACAAAGGGGTTGAGGCTGAACAACTGGAGATCCTGACATGAGAACATGCAATGAGGTACACTGCCATAACCAAGAGCTTCAACATCCAGGGTCTGCCACCCTTCAGCTTAAAAGCGATGTTCAGCCCTGAGTAATTGAGAACTGTTTGGTCAGCTAGGGTGGAGCAAACATCCAACACACCATATGTATAGAAATACACGAGTATGCAAACAACCAACTTGTTCATTGTTTACCATAGTAGCCAGAGTAGTTCCTCTCTGTTGTAGTGAATGAACAGCCATGTTAATAGTTAGTCAATGAATGAATAATGAATTATAAGTATTGTTAAACTTTAAAAAAAACACTAAGCAAAACAGCCAATACAGGGGTTCCTCAGGACCAACAAACAAGACCACTTAACCAGCTGACTCAGGGGTGTCTCAATGCAGTTCTCATTCCCAGGCATGTCCTCAAGGGTCTCCATTTTTTCCTGAACATATTGCATCCTAGACCACTCCTCGGCTGGGACTGTACCACAAAATTACAGTTTGCATATTTTGTTTTCTTGGTAATGATTACTCATTCGTATTATTGGGGGGGGGGGCATTTTTTGTGGTAGTTGGCTGCCTGGCGTACGGTGCATCCTTTCTAAACACAGCTGACCTTTTCCAGACGTGGACACGTGTGTCCAAATCAGGTGCAAATACACTGTGATTCAATCATTTTTGTGTGTGTGTGGGAGACGACAGTATTATATACCATTATAGACAAGATTATGTAAAACTGGGCTGCATTTCCTCTAGTGGTACTTCATGTCGGAAAAGGCAGAGTATTTATGCTTGCTTAACTGTGTCATTAGGATAGCAGAAATGAAAGTTAATTAAACTAATTGGTTTTAACGTCTACAAAGAGTCTATATGTACAAATCTGGATTTTTTTATGAAACATGCAGTATATTTTAAGTATTTCTACAGAACAATCACCATTTTTCCACTTTCTGTATCTAGTGAAAATGATTAGCTAGAGGCTGGTTAGTTGGTGGGTTTTAGTTTTTATATATTTTTCTTTAAATTATACACAAGTTTCAAGAGTTACAGTGTAGTATTCAGGCTGCCACGCTTCATACCATAAACAAGGTCACAAAGAAATCCCCATACAGAGAATTGTTTCTGTCAGGTTACCTGCCCAATGCCACATCCCTCAACAGCCACAACACACAGCAAGAGCGTATGAACAGCAAGCTTGCTCTTCTCAGTCCTTGTTGTGCCTTGTTACTTTGGGTGCTTTAATCCAGCCATGGCAGCCAGGTCCGCAAACAACAATGCCAATGTCTTTCTTTACTTGTTTCATGTGCCAGCACACTCACCAAGATGATGACAACACCAAACAATATTCTCCCTGTCTCCCCAAAGCCAGATCAAGCTAATTTCACTATTCTGTCAGCTCACACCTCAGTCGGCAGTTCTACTTAGTCTTACAGTTTCATCCAAGTTGTCATCTACAGTGTTACAACTAAACTTCACAGTGTGACAGAACTAAGATGTGGGTACTGTGTTAAACCCAGTTATTGGTTCTGTCAAAGACATAGGAGAAAAAGTAAGGCAATACTGAACATCTTCCATACTTGAACGTAGGTTTCTTCATCTTTATAACGTTCGAGTAAGCTGAATCACATCAGCCCCAGTTGATTCAACAAGCTTCAATTAGCTGTTTGGACTGAGCTCAGAAGTGTTAGTTTTGGACTGTTTGATGGGTAGTCTTAACAGATGCCAGCCACGATACCGAACGATGTGGCCAATGATTGTTTTGTACTTTTGTCTATGCCTTTACATCTTCTTCTGTCTTGCAATGATGAATGATTTGTAGTGCCAAGACGTAAACTTTTCTGTGTGTTTGTCTCGTGTGAACAATACATCCTCTAGCCAAAACAATAATGCCTGCAGTTGGAATAAAACATGGAAGATGTCAGTGTTGACAAAATGCGCAAAATAAAAAAACACTTATGTTGCATTTTCTACAACGGAATGATGAAACAGGCCCAATCACTGAATCACTTTTGAATATCCTCATTTCCTGGTTTCCCACCACCTCCCAGCATGCCTTTAGAAGTCATTGTGAGGTGACCCGCAACATTTAGCATGTAAGTGCTCTCGAATGCACAACAAACCCTCTGATTTCTGCATTAATGTGTAGCAGCAGGCCATTGTAGTGTTTAACTTGGTTTAGTCTGTACCTTTGTGTCATGACCATCTGTTTGACCACTGGAGCAGTATGTTCAGATGATAAAACGGTGCATTTTCTTCTTTTACTTTTTCTTCTTCTTTGATTTTTGTTAATAACCTGGTGCTGAATAAATACATTTGAAAAGGTGCTACCATTGTAGACTCCAGAGTCTACTTTTTGGCTTTCTGAAAGCATAGCCTTCCGGTTGACTGAGAGGGCCTGCGCCCCATAAACTTGCAGTCTCAAAATGCTCGAGAGCTAGCACCTCAAATCCACACCGTTTACAGCAGGACTCAACTCTCAATGGTGCCATTTTAATTTTCCGATCTGCACAAAAAACAACAGTTACTCTACTGTTCATACAATGTTTATTATACTGGTTTCAGCATACAGTATGTTTTTGTTTTACTATGATTCAAACTGCACTAGGATTTTTTTTCTTTCTTTTCTCTGAGAGAATCAAACTGGTAGATGACAAAATGCATCTTTTTAGCAAATGCACAGGTGCACAAATGTACTTCTGCTACTGGAATTGGGGTTAAAAAAATATATAGATCGTGATTGCTGTGTTGTAAATTCCTGTCATCTATATGTCCTTAATATGTGTATCTATTTTTGTTGTTATTGTAGAATTGGCTGTAATATTTTGTTTAAAAATGGATTTGATATTCCAATGAAGCGACTATGGTTGTCATATTAATTGCTGCTGATTTTTGAAATTGTTATCAAAGGTGTTGGGAAATATTGCTTTGTTTATATTCAATTCAATTTCTAGATTGTGTTAGCTTGTTGGTGTATTTCACAAATCTATCAGGATACTCCCTAGACTATATGATTTATCCGGGGTATTCCAAAAGTTGGCACAATGTGAGCAAGCAAATTTGCTACAGTATGTAGCATCTTTATGAAAGTGTACTCATACAACCAATGTTGTGACTGAGAACATATAAAGAATGATTTCTTTGTTGTTGTTAAGTATAAAATGTAAGTAAATTGTTTAATGGAATCCCCGTTCTTTAAAAAAGCAAAACTGATGTCCTATTTTTGGGAACAATATAAATATTATTAATAACATATGGTGCTAAAGTTCTTTTTGTATGTTTTGGTTTTTAGATGAAAAGAGAAATATTATGCTGAAAATGTAATGTTAAGCCTTACTGTAGATTCATATATCAGACTGTTCATCCCAGAAGAGAAAAATAAATATAGTATTTGAAAGTGCAATATATTAGTACTGTATTCACATGCACATTTCACATTTCAACAAATGAAAGCCACTGCAATATGTGGCCTGCAAAGGTGTAAGATGTGAGCCTACACACTTTGAGGTAAAGTTTAGTGAATGTATCGTACTATAAAGCTTTACAGTAAACATTTTAGCTTGTGATTAGTACATCTTTAAATGTAGCTAGTTAAAGGCCTACAGGAGTTTTGATTTACTTTGATCAGACCTCTGCAGGTTGACATTGTGTGGACTTAATGTACATGATGTCACAAAACGGATGTACTAATAAGATTGGTAAAGGTCTAAGTTGTCCGACCCAAACAGCAACTAAACTACAAGAAAGGGAGAGAGATGACAAGCAACTGTAGACCAAAAGTGAAAACACATGCATGGTTTGACTATGGCTGTGTAGGGGTGTTTAACATGGGTGCACTAGATCAAATCTTTAACTAATCACCAGCACTAATTACAAAATAATTTTTTTTGGCACATTGGAACAATAGTTAAATAGATATTGAGACATGGGCATATCTCATATATATTTTTAACTTGCAGAGGCAGTTGATATAGTGGAGGATACGTCTGGGGTCAACCTTTGATGGACAAAGTTTACAAATGTAATATGATTCATTTAGAAATATACAGTATGTTGAGAGGTTACATAAACTAAAAGCCAAATCAGGCGTAACAGACCTAAACACAAGGTTACTAAATGTAATAATTTTGCAGATCCTATACTGTAGCCATAGTTCATCCTTACCTGCATTGATGCACACACGTTTTGCTATTTGCAATTGAATTAAAGGACAATCACCAACCTTTAACAAAACAAATTCAGACCCAATACATATAATTTAGCATTTAATTTTACATAGTGACATTTCTTGACCATCCCAAATATAACCAATAGCAGATGAAGTAGTCTACCCTTCACCTGCTTTATCCAGAGGTTCAGGAAAATAAAGACAGATGAATATGACATGATTAAAAAGTAAATACCCTTGACAGTTTCTGGAGGTGTGTAGAGCTTAGCCTTTTGTTGGCATGCATGCAGCCAACCTTGTGAGTGACTGGTCTCTGTTCCAGTTTAATATCCTCTTGCTGTTTCTTTTTTCCTCCACTTGTCTCATCTGCCTCTCTCTCTCTCTCTTGCTGTCTTGATTGGCTGTCTACATTTTTGTCCTAGTAAAACAGGGATAGTAAAAAGTAACAGTTGGTGTGTCAAGAAATTCTTTTGACAGACACACAAAAATGTCACAAGTGATACACTGCATTTTAAGAGCCTCGTTAGTTATTAACAGCTAGTGTTTTTAGACAAATAAAAACTATTTTCAGGGCAAGAAAGACTTATCTTAGCAGAAAAGCACAAAGAAAGAAAGCTAATACAAGTGTAATATTGAACTGCATAACATTTAGGTGTGTCAGGTCAAGAGGTAGCCTATGGCTTACTGGGAGGGACAGAGCCACCTGTGCTTTTTTCTCATATTAAAAGGAAATATCAGATGTGGAAAATGCCTATTGTTTGTGATGTGACAAAAAGTGACATATGGGGCTTTCCTAAAGAGAATTGAGAGACAAGTGTCAAAATTTCAACCTCTTAAAAATTACAAATGGTCAAGAAGCTGTTATAATCAGGAGGGGCTGTAGCAAGCAAACAATAAATAAAGCATTATAAATAGCATTCTGTTAAGGTAGTGAATTTCCCCACTATGGGACCAATATGTTACAGTATAGTCACATATGCAAAATTTACTCAGTGTCTAAATGCCATAGCTATAATTCCTTTATCTGAAGTGAGTTGTAACTGAATAATTTGATATCTTTTTATTCTAGCTAACAACATAAACGCTGTCCGTAAACACTACAGTCACTCTATCACTCTGCCGTATAATCAGTGTAACACACAGTACTGACAGTAGCAGCTGTTTTGGTTTGTGCAAAGCCAAGCATGACGCTGGACCACAGTTCAACGCCCAAAATGGCGGCACGATTGAAAAGTTTTGCCTGTTTTATCCGAGTTTGTCTTCATCACAGACTATCTCTTCAATTGTTTTAGCAGCACTGAAGCATACCATTTTCAGACTGGAGGCACGCCGGCATTTTTTTCTAATGGTTGTGGAATACGGCAAAAGTCAGGATGGCTTTTGCTATCGGCTCAAATTCGGCATCACTTTACTAATGCTAGGCTAAGCTAGGCTAGCAAGCTAACTACTGTCAGATGAGTGCTGGTTAAAAGCTTCGGTAGTTATGTCTCGTCTCACCTGGATCTCCACGCCGACCTGGATATGAAGAAGAGGACCTTCACATAGAAATGGAGGATGATGTGAAAAAAGTGAAAAAGGTAAGGTGGGCAATTACGCATACTTTGTACTGCAAGTTGATTAGCTATCATGCTAACTTACTAGCTAGTCAGACCAGTTGAGCTTAACGTTAACGTTAGCTGGCTAAGTTTAGCCAACTATCAAGTAAATATCAGCGGACAGAGGCAAAGCTCTCACGATAACGCACCGACATGTTTATTGTATTTTCCATCGATTGCCGTTGTGTTAAATGGGGAAAACCGGACATTAAATAAACATAACATAGTTAAATTAATGCGCAACAGAGAGCGAGTGAAGTGTCAACGTTACAAGTTAAGTTAAAACGTTACCGTGAGCGTGAGGATGCTTTTATCTATAATCTAACGTTATTAATATCAATGTCGCCTTCAACAAATCTTGTTCACTTAACGTTAGTCCATTAAAATGTGTTCACATATCAAGTTAGTATGTGTTCGTTGTGGTAAATGTTCTTAATAGGAAATCATCGGCCATTGCTGTATTAATTAACGTGAAGGTGATGCTGGATATACCGCAGTGTCAGTATTCACAAAAAGGCTATGAACGCAAAACCTAGTTTCCCAGAGTAATAACCCTCGTTGTTACGTGTAGGCGTGGGTCATGGAAGATCTGCGTGCTCAACATCAGCTGTCAAAGGCAGCAGTCATCAGTGTCAGTCATGCTAAAGGGAATCAGCACTCACACATGGTTGTGACAACCATCTTGCCCTCTGCCACACATGCAGTACATACACATACTACCTAATGATCCCGTTTGATATGGAGAGGGGTCTTTGTGTTCAGACACATAGCTGACATTCCTTTGATCTTTTCTTCCTACTGTGTCTTACCACAGACAGAAGAGGTATTTTCCCTCTGTTATTTGATTGGCACAGGAGGAAACTGAAGGGCAGGACCCACCAAATCTTGGCTTGACATGACGTCCACAAGTTTCCACAGTCTGAGCAGCATAATGAGAAGTGAGGTGTCTTGAGGTTCACGTCTTTGTTATTATTGTGCTGGTCATTCCTTAATTTTTCCATGACAAAAACACTAATTTTACCTCTCATCTAAATCCGCCTACTCATGATGTGAAGGGAATTTTGAACGGAAATGAAGTGATATCCTAGTGTTAAGAAGGTTTGTTTGGGCAAGGAAATGTTTTTCTCAGCAATATTATCTAACCCAAAGTCTGCGCTTAGTTTGATAAGGCAAAACTCAAACTTCCACTCAAAGTACCTTAACACAAATGATAGGTTGCCTAGGTAATTTCTATGTAGATCTGCAGTAAACATATTTAAACACTTGCCTAGCAGCATTTTAGCTTTTAGGAAAGTCAGATATCCTTAGGTGGAAACAATTGTTAATTTTTTTCCGTTTTATCTCAGTACAAATTAATGTTTTCAGTGAACAGCTTTTTCAAACTAGTTATGACCAATTTTTTTGACATCTTTCATACTGATCAGAGTTGATTATCTTTACTTTGAGAGATCAGTGTCACCAATACATACAGTTCTTGTTTGTTCCACTTGGTGGAGATAGAGAACAGCATTTTTATCACTTTACAAAGTTTTGTGTTATTACACAGGTTCAAGTGAAAGCTCAAACCCTTTAATATGAAAACAAGATAGAAAGCTACTTTCACTTTGCCAACTGTTTTCTCATTTATAAAAGCTTCCTATTTGTCGGGTGGAATCTCTGGAACTTCATGAAATGTAGGTATTTTGCAGACAGGAAGGTCTGGAAACTGTCAGGTATCTGGAGAAGTTAATGAATTTTCCAGCTTTACAGCAATATAGCAGAGTGAACCCTCTTTTGACTCCCACACACGGCATTGTCTTGCTTTCAGCCCAGTGGGAGTGATGATGTTTTACAAACACTAATAAACCAAGACTCCTCTTACACTTACACAAAGTTTGAAAGTCCACCTGTACTTGTTTTCTCCCAGGCCATCAAAGCACAAAGACGTCATACAGTATCTTCACTTATGTTTCATCCTCTGAACTGACTTTCACCAAAAGAGGCACTTGTTCATCTTAAGGCCATCTACTGGGGTCAATTACAGTAGCTCTTGTCTCATATTTCCTAAGGAAAAGCCATAAAATGTTAATGCACTGACATACTGTTAAATAATGCACTGATACCACAGCATAGCTTACCTATTGTAGGTATTGCCAGCAATAGCAAGTTATTACATTGACCTTTTCACAAGTTGTGTGAATAAAGGAAATAAATCCTATGGCGCTACATATTTTGCCTTATTGATTCTGCAGTGTAACAGAATATACACTGTCTTGTATTTAGTGGTGTAGCAGTGATGGAAGGCAGCAATCATCGCATCGCAATAAAATATCATGTGGAGTAAAAGTCATTATCGCCACACACTCTCTTTTGTCTGTCTTCAACATCTGTGAAGCACTTTTTAAAAGTGTTTTTCAATATTCAAAGCACGACTTCGTGTGTCATCACAGGAAGTTGTGGCTTGTCCCCTTCCTGTTCTTGTGCTTGAGTGTATAGACAGAGAGACACTTCCCTTCCTCTGTGAGGGGGTTACACCCCACACATACACACACCCAGGCCGTGTTTGATCTTGTATGTCTGTCGCCGGTTGGCAGCTGCCACTGTGTGTGAGTGGAGGCAACAGGTGACAGTGTTTAGACGGTGTGAGGCGAGCGTAACAGC